CTTTCTTGATCCGACAAACAATACATTTCTTCACTTCACACTGCTCTCAGCCAATAGCTGATGTCCTAAGAGTAAATCTAGACCACATAACTTTCTGTCGTAATGGTACTCTCAAATATGTGACAGCAGCGTGCTGCAGTGGGTCTCCGTGTGGACTGAATATTTCAGGTAGCAACAGGCTGCAGCAGCCACTTCGTTTAAGTCTCAAGCAGACTTCTGACGGCATCTCACTAACAGAGTGCTTCTCGTATGTTTGCAGCATGTACGGATCACTCAGTGACATGGCTGACTGTTTACATCCTGTGCCAACTCAGCCGATGTGTAATTAACATTATGTCTTGATAGCCTGCTGTTGTTTGCAGCAACTTCAAGTCATGATTCTGACACATCGACAACAAGCAGTGAACACTTTGATACAGGGCCAAAACAACACTGATGTCTACTTCAGTTTCCAGTGATGTCACCCAGTAAGTAGCCTTCACGAGCATGAGACTCTCTGTGCTTTCACTTAATGGTCATGTCTAGTCAAACTGTTTTGTACCTCATGAAATTAATGATCCACTGTGATGATTCCTATTTGTGTGCATCACTTGAATCTTAGCATTAGGGCAGGGAAAATAAAAGTTTACTCTGTAGACTAAATTTGGATTTGAATGCTTGACTCTACCACATACTGACTTTATAATTCCAGGTAAATGATAGAACTCCTTTGTACACAGATTGTATCTGTACAACAGGGATCATATTTATTACCTATCCCTCAAACATACCTTATTCTGAGGATTAAAAAAGATCATGTGTTGAAAGTGCTTCACATAAATGTCTGCTACTACTGCTTAATAAATATTAGAAAAAAATATAGCAATAACTGGAGTAGGTGAGTGCTTCAAAAATGCCTGGATTTATCACAGAATATGCAACATGTGGGGGACATAATGGTTATTTGAATAGTCATTAGCAGATTACAGAATTAGGAAATAATTCAGTTTGAGTAAATCAGAGAATTCTAAAGATATTAAATGGTTGTACTATAATGAACAAAAATGTATTAGTGTCATAAGTACTTTACAACAATGGTATCCTCCAAATCTAATACTAGACCACTGAATAAGCACAAGAAAAATGAATAAGAAACACTTAAGTTTTGGTAAGATGTCAAACACACTCTTCTAAAATCAATTGTTCTTTCAGTTTGGCTTGGACCAACATTTACCACCTTCATTTTAAAAAAAAAAAAGAAAAAGCAGCCTCTTAAAAAACATGAAAATGTATTCAATATACTCGTAACTGTACGGACTTCAGAATCTAAATGGGGACCGAAACTAATCTTACTTACGACCTTACTTGGAAGCTAAATAAGTGCCCCACATTAGTAAATAATTTATTGTCCTATTTTGAACTCTGCTTCAAATGTTTTTATGAAAGTCTTTTCACCTCAGCAGCTATTTGAGTGTTCACTTTGAACAATGACTTTGCCGCTGGCCAAACCTGACTCTCAATCAGTTTCTATGAGCACAAATTCTTGAGCTGATGGTTACATCTCCAGCTATAACTCATATAATACACACTCACAAGTGGTGATGAGATTCACATTCTCGCCAGGGCACCATTCTGCCGACGGCAGCAGCAGACACAGCAGGGGGACAGTGTCCTCCCTAGAAAAATGACTCCTTCACCTTTCAGTAATGCAGCCTGCAGGTCCGAACCTACAAGCTGCATGCCAACAGAATGAGAGCTCTCTTTAAAAATACTAATAAAAACTACCCAGTTCTTCCCAATGGGTCCTTCTCATGGAATCTCCATACACATCCATCTTGATTTTGAAGTGTGTGCATTCAATTTGTCTTCCCATTACATTTGGAATTGAAAGGAAGATTCAATTGTATTGACAACTTCAAAAAGTTGCCAGAGTACTGGCACGTTTATCTCAATACATTCGGCGTGGGATTCTCTGTATGAGTGCACATATGTACCTATATTTGTGCAAAATTATAATGCTTAAATTTAACTTCAGATTTTAAGATGATAACTCAGGTAGAATAGATCTGAATTCATTACAGTCTGGTAGTGTTTTTTCTAAATTTCAATTATGGAGCATATGGGTTTACATTTAAATTTTAATTATGGGTTTAAATTTTGCCTTTTAAAACGTTATACTTGGGGTGCCTGGGTCGCTCAGTTGGTTAAGCATCCAACTCTTGGTTTCAGCTCAAATCATGATCTGAGAGTCATGAGTGGTTAGAGGGGAGTCTGCTTGAGATTCTCTTCCTCTATCCCTCCCCCGCTCGCTCACTTGTGCACTCTCTCAAATAAATAAAAATCTTAAAAAATGTTAAATTTGTTTTTGTTACTGACAGAACTTTCTAGCTCCCTAAAGACATGGTTAATGTTCCTCAAAGATATACCAGTTAATGATCTCAAAGTACTCTAATTCTTTCTTTCATTTCTAAATTCTTTTATAGGGTGATCATCAAAGTATACATGTTTGTCCTGTAATTTCTGATTCTTGTGATCATATGCTAGAAAATGAGGTAAGGAGTAAAGGATTACCTCAAATCTCACTTGGCCAAAACCATGAGGTGATCATCTGATCTCTCAAGACTAATCTAATAAAGTCAATTTTCATATATACAATCAACATAGTTGAAACTCTCTTAGCCTGTCACTTAACCAGACCTCTAGATTAATGAACACTGAATCATTCTTTAAAACATAATAGAAATGATCCAGCAATTATACTCTTTGGTATTGACCCAAAGGAGTTGAAAACTTATGTCTACACAAAAACTTGCCCAGGAGTGTTTATAGCAACTTTATACATAATTGCCAAAACTCAGAAGCAACCAAGATGCCCTTCAATAAGTGAATGAATAAACTGTGATTCACTCAGACAATGGAATATAGAATATTATTCAGTACTAAAAAGAAATGAGCTATCAAGCTATGAAAAGACATGGAGGAAACTTACAAGCATATTACTAAGTGAAAGAAACCAATCTGAAAAGGCTATGTGCTATATGATTCCAATTATAGAACATCCTGGAAAAGGGGAAACTATGGAGACAGTAAAAAGATCAATGGTTGTCACAGAGGAGAGAAGGGCCGAATAGAGAAGGAACAGGATTTTCAGGGCAGTGAAAATACTCTGTATGACATTTCAACGATGGATATATGCCATTATACATTTGTCCGAACACATATAATATACAACACTAAGAGTGAACCCTAACGTAAACAATGCACATTGGATGACTATGATGTGCCAATGTTGGTTCGTCCTTGGTAACAAATGTATCAAGTGATGTTGATGATAGGGGAGACCATGGCATGTGTGGGGGTAGGGGGTATATGGAAAATCTCTGTACCTTCCTCTCAGTTTTGTTGTGAACCTAAAACAGCTTTAAAAAGATAAAGTCTTTAAAAAAAGGAAAAATAAAAAAATGTAATGACTAATAGGTAAAACTCTGTGCTTATTTAGAGTCAGCTAGGTTTGTTTGTGCCAATAACACCTGCTATTAAAAATATGGAATTAAAAAAGAGTCTGCATAGTAATGCATGAAGTAGGACTATGAAAAAGAAGCTGCTGTTTCTATGAAAAATCACTTGAGCGATTTAGAAAGATGTGATGAAGTTGCTAATACAAACTCGTCAAATTAGATGTAAGACATCTATCAATAGGAATAAAATCAAATGTCCAGAAAGATCTGCATTAAAAGTGCTTAGTAAATGCATTTAAGTTCTTGTAACAACATAAAGAAATTAAATGTGGAAACCAAAGAAGAGGTCATATGGGTATGGTTTTCGGAGCACAGATCACCCAGACCTCCAAACAGGAGACCCTTACTCAAAGCAAATGCTTGGGCTTTATATCAAGACTCCCCAACGTATGTGTGTACAAGTATGTGTATCTTTTGTTAAATTAGTTGACCAAATAATGGTTTCAATCACAAGGCTACATTTTAACCAAATAGGCTGGCTGTTTGCCATGCAGATAAAACTACCTTTGACCGAATTTTTATACTTTTCATGAAGTTACCATGCCACTGTGGCACATCCAACAATAGACAGATAACCTTACATCTGGAAATGACAGTTTTCCTTCCTTAGCATTTCGCCATGTTATTCTGATACAGTCCATTTAAGGTTTGCTTAATGTGTGGGCAGGAATCGACAAGATTTTCTTTTCATATATATCCACTGGGGATAAAATAGCTTGGATTCATCATAGAATGGAATGACTACTACTTAGAAAGTTATTCCTTAATGTAAATTTAGTTTGATGAGTATATTCTATGAGCAAAGGTTATCTATGATTAAAAAACAAACAAAACAGAGAATGAATATCCCAGTAATCTGCCTATATTCAGAATCCGATTGCAAACAAATCTACCAGTCCAGGTAATTTACTGATATAATTATGTGAATAGATGATAAAAATGGAATATTTGTATAAAAATGGGAGCTTCTAAGTACTATGGTTTATCTATAAAATATCAGAATGATGCAGTTTTTCCCAAGGTATGGTACTGTCTTCCTGAAGGATTTAAGATCTTTTCAGGGAATCTGTGAGGTCAAAACTATTTTTGTAATAATATTCAGACATCATCTGTCTTTTTCACAGCTACTTTCTCATGTGTGTACGGTGGAATTTTCCAAAGGCTAAATTTCATCTGATATTGCAACACATTGAATGTAGAAGCGGATATGAAAATACAGCCGCATTCTATTAAGCGACACATTAAAGAGATGGGCAAGAGTGTAACATAATGCCGCTCATTTCCCTAAATTGTTTGATTCAGAAAAGTTATTTTACATAAAAAGGTTACTTGTGTTAGCATGTGAAAAAATTTACTACTTTTATTTTGAAATGAAATATTTGTGTGTTTTTTTTTTTTTTTAGTTTTCATTTCTAACACAGTGAATATCAATAGATCTAACCCAGTAAACAAAAGCTTGAGAACTGTTAGATTGATTGTGTAACAGGAAAATAATTTACTAACCTGAACAAGAACAAAGTAACGTTTTTTCCATCTTTTCCAAACCTTCTGTCCTAGGGCATACAGATATCTGGTAAGAAAAACAAGCAAAGAATATTTTAGATGAATAACGTTGTGGCTCTGTGTAATCATATTTCTTCCATAGGTATTTTTTTCTTGAGACCAGCCTGTTAAAGGCAAAATTTAGTTCATTTGAAAGCTGGGACAACATGTAGCTTCTGTGTTACAAAATGACTGAGCTTATTCTAGGTTCTTGAAAGGGAATTGATTTACGTGGCTTATCAGTTTGTCAGTTCTTACTACAAATTGAGCGAAGTTGGAGCTAGAAAGGATAATCAAAGAACCAGTGGGAATTTTATTCTTACACTTCTTAGGAGAGACAAAGGCTACAAACTGGGGATAGAGGACTCAGCTCTCAGATGACCAGGGCTGAGGAGTGTGGCCTAAGGAGGAGGTGGCTGTAGAGTCAAGAACCCAGAGCAAACGGTCACTGTCCAGCTGGGTGACCCCAAGTTATTCTGGCACCAATCTTGGTTTCTGTTTCTTTCAACTATAAATGGCAGGACTGGGTTTCCTGATTTCTAAGGTCTCTGTCAACCTCATAATTTGGTGGTTTAGCTGATTTATGGAAGTATCTTGCTGCAAATTTCCCTAACCATGAAATTCAGGCAATAATATATGTGAAGAGAATATGGCATAATTCAACATAGTTATTACCCCCAGGGCTTTTAACTTTGCATTGCTAATAGTAATATGAATGGAAATGAATAAAGTAGTCAATCATCTGAGAATAAAACTTTTGTTCTTACTGAATATACAGATGTAGGCATATACATCAAGGAGGAAGAAGAAGATATTAAAAATTAATGAAGTGAAGCATATCCTGGAGAGCTATTTTGAAATTATACCACAGAAACGTATACACACCTCCTACAAAAGTGGAAAACATTGTTAGAAGTTTGAAATATGACAAATACAGGCCTGGTTTTTAAATTAAAGATTTTTCAATATTTTATCACTGTCCTTTTCTTCTGAAGTGAAGATTCATCTCTGTAAAGGTTACTCAAACTAAATTTATATACAATTCTGAGTATTAAACTATGGTTATTCATTTATTTGGGGGCTTAAAGTCTTGAGACTTTCACAATTTTTATTTTTTTAATTTTATTTGTTTTAAAATATTTATTTATTTATTTAGGGAGAGCATGTGAGCAGGGGAAGGGGCAGAGAGAGAGGGAAAGGAAGAGCCCACATGGAGCTCCATCTCACAACCCAGAGATCATGACCTGAGCCTAAACCCAGAGTCAGAGGCTCAAGTGACTGAGCTACCCAGGCGCCCCAGAGACTTTCACAATTTTTAAAACTAAAATCTTAGCTTGAATTTTTCATTGCTGTCTAATTAAAATAATTCTCTTTTGCAAAAGCAAAGCAAACGTTCTTGTCCCCTTTTAAAAAAGAAATGCAAGATGTTGGCTAAGGTATGCTGAAATTAATGGGCACTCTTTAAAAGTTTTTTTTAATACCCCTTCCCCCATTTGTCCCACCCCAAGCTCTCCCTCCTCTGGCAACTACCAATCTGTTCTCTGTATCTATGAGCTTGATTTCTTGGGTTCTAAATTTTCAGAATCAAGAAAACAAACATGCAGTTACTAAAAGTCAAAATAAAAACTAGGCTTTTGCATTGGCAATCATCATCCACACTGCCCAAATCAATTATGTACTTTGTTTCAGACACATCAGCTAGCTAGGTGAACTTCTATTTGGCTCGCACAATACCCTGGACTCCACGTTGCCTGTGCTCCTGGATATAATGTGAATTCATCTGGCGACTGACAGAGACATCCACTGCTACTCTTCTCACCTGTTCACTATCTCCTCCTGAGGTCCCTTTAAAACCCTTTGCCCCACCTTTGCTCCAGCCTCTAATTTCTCTTCTGTGGTTTTGGTGGTAGGTGTTTAGCTGCTCTCTTTTTGTATTTCCTATGTAATTTCCCTCTCCTGAAATGCACACACCCAAACTCCTATTACAGGGTTAACAGCAATGACCCCAGGAGCTAGATACCAGAGACACAACAGATGCGCTGTATAAAAGTGCACTCGCAACATCTGCACCAAACAGCTGTCTGGGAGCCACAGAAGACATTTGGAATCACCTTTGCCCATGACCACTGCCTGCTTCTGAGCTCCTTCACGGGTCTCACTTAGCATGCTGCTGGGCAACTGGGTCATATATAAGTGAAAGTGAATAGTGATACACAAACCATCCACACCATTGGCAAGTGTAAGTCTTGCTGAGAGTGAAGGTCCTACACGAGGAATACTACTACCTGCTGCAACATCATTCAAAATCATGGATTGACGAACTGGGAACAACAATGTAGGATTTCTCTGAAAACAGCAGAGCAGTGGGTGCACACATACATGGGTATACTGGAGGTTGGGAGAGGATATAAGAAATTGAATAAAAGACAATTTGAGACTGGAACCAAGATAAGCATTCGAATGTTGGGCTGTGAGATATTTTGGGGTGTTACACTCTAAGAAGAAATTCAACCAACCATATATGGAAGTCACAAATGGACAAATGTATCTAGGAAGCAGCTGGGCAGGAGAGTTATATTCTCTGCCTAAGAAAAAAAAAATTACATTCAACAAAAGATTGACTGCATAAAGGAAATGTTATAAATGCTATGTAGCAAAAATGAATAGTTTCTGCCTTCCAGTTTTCACATTAACCAGACTAAAATTTTATGAAATAAAATGGATAGGAATACATCAGAAAAGATAGCTATACTGAATAAGAACACACTGAACTTGATTTCAACAAATTTGAGGGTTTTTTTCACTCAAAGAATGATTTCTGGCAATAGGTTTCTAGCATCACTGTCTAGCTGCTTTTTCACTGGTATAAAATTAGATTCTGGGCATAAGAGATACTTAAAATTGAGGGAAGAATGAAGAACAAGATGTTCATCAATACTGTTTAAAATCAAAAACTCAAAACCGTCTAAGGATCAAACGGTAAGGAATGAGTAAAAGTTGCCACTAAAAGTGATGTCAAAAAAGAATGATGTGGAAAAATTATTATAATGCTAGATTAAAAAAAAAAAAAGCAGTCACATGAGCTCATAGTATATGCATGGGAAGAAAATCCAGAAAGATACATCAAAATATTAAGCCTGCAGTTAATACTGGGCTGTTGAGATTAAAGACGAATTTCATAATGTTTTTTTTCTTTTCTTTTTTAATAATCTCTATACCCAATGTGGGGCTCGAACTCACAACCTCAAGATCAAGAGTTGCATGTTCTACTGAACCAGCCAGGTGCTTCTTCATATTGCTCTTTATGCCTTTACATTTTCACAGTTTCTACACTAAGCATGTCTTCCATTTTTTTAAAAGTAAGGCTTATTGGTATAGTTTACATAAAGTAAGAATCCTCCATTTTAGGTATATAATTTGGTGAGTGTTGACACAGCAATGTAACCACCAACACAATGGACTTACTGAACATCTGCATCCCTCCAAAAGTTCCTTCAGGTCCTTTTTTTTTTTTTTTTAAAGATTTTATTTATTTATTTGAGAGAGAGAGAATGAGAGAGAACACATGAGGGGGGGAGGGTCAGAGGGAGAAGCAGA